CCCCCCCCCCCCTCCCTCCCTCCTCCCAAAAAAACAGGAATTTTTTATAATTTCGCCATGAAATATTTTTGGTGTTGCCTTTTCGAATTTCTCCAAAAGTCAAAAAATCAAATTTATCTGGAGATCGACTCTACAATGTCACTCAAGAAAAGCCTTCAACTCAAGTACGTCACACAGATTAGTATTTTGAAAAACTTTTTATTTTTCGTTTCATAAACACCTGTAATAAATAAAAGTACAGCACTTATAACATCCAATCACGGGTCAGAATCGGAAATCACCTGTTTTCTGTGGGTACAATGATATGCCTGTTTTTTTTTTTGGCACAATATGTGGATCAGTAGGGAAAAACAGCAAGCAAAAATGTGCGCAACCTTGTCGAATCACTACATTTCCTACCTAATCAACTCTGAGTCATTCAAATTACAAATGTTAGTAGCTAACTAATGTTGAATTGTGGCGAAACTGATCGATCCTTTACTACAATACTACGATTCTTTACACCTTAATAGAATGAACTTTTTTGAATAGTTCTTCAACTACAGTTCTCCTACTGTGCCTACTGTTGTGAGCATGTGACAACGTTAATTGCCAAAGCACTAAAAATTTTGTAGTCTGAGACTATCCGCCTACTTCCCCGCTTCCAAAGGTCCCATTCAACGTCATATCTTCGAAAAAGTGAACTGAGACGATAGGATTCTCGTTCCTGCATCTGAGAGAAACAGGAGTTCATCATCGTGGTTACTTCTTCAACGAAAGGGACTCCAGTCTAGCCGGTTTCCTGGCACTCTGTGAGCGGCCATATATATCGTCGGAATAAACGACACCACTGAGCAAATTGTCAAATGTAGTCGCTTTGTTAGGAAAGTATGACTTCACATCTGAAAATGATGAAGTGTAGTGGAATGGCCCTAAAATGAAGCCAGCGCTTTTATTCAAGGCCTCATTATTCACCAATATGATTGTGACCTAGAAGGAAATTACCTACCCAAACTTCTCGCATGATCACCTCGGTACTTGTTCAGCACGTTACTCTGTCGAATAGGTTTGAAATAGTTGTTAGCTATGTTCTCCTCCTCACTTTTGGCAAGTTTCTGAAAGAACGGGTCAAGAAACGATATAAAGTTAAGGCTGTTAGAGTGGTATAGGAAAAGTTGCAATAATAGAACCATCGAAGTCGATTCGTTTTTTCGACACCCCTGCTTATGAAAATTGCAGTTGAAAACATGAAGGCGTTTCTACAGCTATTTGGCCGGTGTAGGCCCGGCCCGTTGGCCCGTGTAATCGAGCTGATGTTCAACTGCTACAGTTCCTTGAGTTGATTTAAATTTGGTTCTGAGTTTTCTCCAAAGTTTTTATGGTTTTTCGCTGCCGAGGCCGTCATGAAATAGGTCTTAGGGGAAATACTCCTTTTGGCAATTCCCGTAACTGCTTACCCGTCTCAGCTTAGAGCTATCGTCGTCATATGTATCGCGCAGGAAGGATGCTGACTTGTCGCCGTTGTATATCCCTAGGAGTAAGAAGTATGTTACCAAAATCGAATAAAAATCGAAAACGTTGATTGAAATCAACAATGGTTCAATAACAATGATACTCAGAAAAGCTGATAAAATAAAAAGGAACAATTAAATCGTATAAACTTAGTCGTATGGAGGGGTAAGCAGTGAATAAGCTATTTCAAAATCAAGAAGAAACGGACATCGGGGTTAGCATTGGACGAACAATTGTTGGAAAATGTAAAGTAGGAAGTCGATGGGTAATCAACAATATCAGCTGGCAGTCTTAATTCTCTGTCCCTTTGAACTAAAGGAGAAACGTACCATCCTTCGGAAAGTTTAGCTGAGTAGCCCTTGAAATCCCTTTAGAAGCTCGTAGGCTAACTACTTAAACTCAATCACCCCACATCTTTTCTTTCATTTTTTAAAGTGTAATGGTCTTACACTTTTGTTAGGGTAACTCTTCAAAAGTACACAGGTATAGAAGTAGCCTATTGGAGTTCCATACTCTGTAGTACATACCATTATTTGCTGTAGGCAGTACCGTTCTGGTCATACTAATCTCCGGTAGAATCCATCGACCCTCGTCTTCATTCCAGACGGCGTCCTTCTTGACTTTTTCGAGATTATAGTAATTTGATTCCTGAATGAGGCCAGTATTACCTCAAACTCTACTTACACTTACTAAAACGAGAACAACTTGCCTTTCTTAAAGTTGGCTGCACTTTTTCCAAAATCTGTGTCAACAACTTTAGCTGTTGGTCTTGCTTCCGAATAGTCTCTAGATAGTCGAGTCGGTCTAATTCGAACTCTCCTTGGAGGTCTTCAATTTCGCTTTCCAGAGCTTTTGACTGAAACACAGAATCGATTGGACTCTCGATGAGCAGACGAATCAGAATAGAGCCTCAGTGCAAATGAAATTTATCACAGCCATTCACGGCTAACAGCGATCTGCGAGCTCTGTTAAATCCTCTTTTTGGGCCCACCACTTTTCGTGCACCCTATAAGACCGTGAATTCACGGTTGAGCCAGTTTTTCGGGAAATCGGGAATAGGAGGTAAATACATGGACCTGCTCTTTCCACTGTGTAGGCCAAATAATCAACTACTTATCGAAAGCAGCCAAGTTCACTCGTCCAGTTCTTTCTTCAATTTTCTCCAGTTCAGTAGTCCTCGAGGCTTCTCAACTTCATCTCCCGCTTGACGTAACCACTTCAGGAATAGCTTTTATTTGGTGATAAATCAAGAGCTGTGTAGACTATATATGGAAGTAGCAAATTTAAAACGTACACGATTCTTTTCTCGTTGAAGTTCTGCTGTTACGGCATCCAACTTTTCCTGCGTAGAACTGTACACCTGTAGAAGCGGGTCGTCCTTGTGCACATTGAGGGCGGCTGTAATAGGTGAGTATCCTTGACGAGCTCGGTAAAGAACTATCTCAAAACCTCCCAGTTAAACTCCCAATGCATTTGTCAGAAAAATTGAAGGGCTGACGCAACAGCAAAACCAAGAATCTGTAGTATTACCAGCGAGTCGTTGCATTTTCGTTTCAGCCTCTTTCAGCTTCTTCGTCCTTTTCTGCTTCAGTTGTTCGTTATCGGCCTGGAAAAGGTAAGTTCTTGAGTCACACAGAGAATGTTCTTTTTTATTTGAAGTTTAGCCAATCCGAAGTGCTCCTTCATGGTAATGTTCCTTGTTAAGTTTAGTCATGGAGGCTAAATACTTAGAGCTGGTTACCATTTCTCCTCCAACAAACTGCTGCTGAAGTTGTTCTAGCTTTCGAGCCGCCTCGTTCGGATCCAAACCTTCCATCGTGTCTAGATCGGAGTTCGCCTAGATACATAAGTTAGGAGATGTTTCCAGTTTGGCTGGAAGTAATAAGAATCATAGAGGGAACCACAAAATGTCTAGCTGTTAAGGAATCATATATTTTTATTCGAATGGATGACTAGTCTTGCGTACGGTATAACACATAAACTAACCTTCTCGTACTGCTCCTTCAGAACCTGAAGCTCATGGGCGAGTTCCGCTTTACTCATCTGCTCTTTGCGATATTCTTCTCTGTAATGGCTATAACAATTCGAATACATTCAATATTTCCATGGTGTCCTTTCTCTGGTAACCCCAGCGACCAACTCCGCGCTAAGAAAAATCCCCTAAATGTAACCATTAAGTGGTAGTGACGGTGTAAGCACTGGTCAATAACCGCAGTTCCAACCGAAGAGAAAACTTTGAAAGCGTGGGCCAGGGTCACTGTTGCCTACCTGTTACTAGTGGCCATTCTCTCCAGTTCTACTCTTCTAAGGTACGGAGCGAGTCTTTCAAAGGCCTTAAAGGCACTGTTCACGAAAAAATGGGTCCGGAAATTTGCACATGGTTTGAATTCGACGCCCCCTCTGATACCATTTGTGCAGGAATGAGGTCGGAAAACGGCTGGATAGGGCACAATAAGGGGCCGGAGAATTATCCACGGTTGCCTCCGCCCCTCGCTAGGCTGA